ATTAAAATAGTATTATTAATTATCTGTTTTTTATTAAAAGCTTATTTTTTTTTTTTTTTAATATATATATTAATTAGGTTCTTTATATATAATTTTAATTTTTTTATACTTATTTTTTTTAAAAAAATTATTTGATTTTTATTTGCTTTCTTAAATGTTTTATTAATAAAAGATATAAATGATAGTATAGAGTTTATAACTAAAATAAATTGATTGAATTAATTTGTATATCTGCTATTTGGTAAAAATATAAAATAATTTAAATTATTTGTATTTTTTTTTTGTTTATTTACAAAATACTATCTATAGAGTTATTTAACAGACTCTCTCTGCTGATTACTCGTATACAAAAATTGTAGAAAAATACTATAAAAGTTCATCAAGAACAACCCTTTAAACTAACTTTGCTGGTCTAAGAAAAAAGATAGAGCTTGCAAAGAAAGTATAACAAGAGCAAAAAAAAAAAACTAAATAGCTTGATCAAAGTAACAAAGAGAAAAACACCTTGCCCAACACTTTGAAAAATAAAATTTAGGAAATTCTCTGTAATCTTGAAATGTAGATTTATAGATCATAGCAATACATGAATAAATAACAAAACAAACATATGTATTAATAGATGCACAAACAAGCCAAATTTAAATAGTGATAGATAAAAGTATAAAAAATTTCAAAACAACAGGCAACAAACAAAAATTGCAAATAATTAGACTAAATATGAGCAATATACAAAATCAAAAAGAAAGCCTAATATTAATCTATATCAAAAGAGCATACTGAGCAGCAAATAGTATATATAATAAAGTCTTCTTCAACCAAGCAAGCAATATATATATGATATCAGATAGAGAAGATGAAGTTGTGACTATGCTACAGGGATGGTAAATGACCTGATCATTTGCTCAAAATTTAAATGACTAAGTTATTTAGATAAATGACTCAAGTCATTTAGTCATTTGGTCATTTGGTCATTTGGGTTATTTGGGTCATTTGCAAATAAAGTAATTTTATTGGCCAGATAACTAATATAAAAAGTTATTAAACACTGTAATTTCACTAATTTATGATTGTAGCTACATATAAAAGTTCAAATTCTATTAAGTTAATTAATATTTATGTCTTAAGTAAAGTTGTTAAGAAGAAGAATATGCATATATCTCAAAAATTTTATATAATTTGATTAACTTTTTACTATACTATTTTGGCCTTTTACATTTATACAAAAAAATTTTAAATTTTTTTATATAAAAGTAAAATACAAAAATAGCATAATAAAAAGTTAATCAAATTATATAAAATTTTTGAGATATGTGCATGTCATATAGGCGAATTTTGGACAATTGGGCCCTAAATAGAGTCACTAATTTCAGTCTAAACTCCTTATTTAATGTTTTTTTTATTGGTCTGACAAATTATTATTAGTAATTAGTTTGATTTTTTGAGGGTTTTTTCTGCATTATTATGCAAGAAGGATATAACAAATATGCATCAAATTGCATTAAACCCATTAGATTATCTTTAAACCCATTAGATTATTGTCTAAACTATTTGTCTGAGCCTATAGAGACATGTTATTTGTCAACATTATTATGTGAATAAAACTATCAAAATAGTTAAAAATTGGCATATGTATATCACGACAATTACATAGATTAGTATGCCTAAAGTAGAGATCCTATTTTTTACTATTTTCAGCCTAAATTAATCTTAATTTGGGCAAAAACTGATATAACAAATCTCTCTAATAATTGAATTCATGGTATTTCATAAATGAAAAAAAAATTTATTAACTATTTTAACTATTTCAAAAACAGAATAAATAGATATAAAACAGCAATAAATAATGATAATGTTTAATAAATTGCTTATTTAATGATGTGTTTACTATTTACTTTTCAAAATTTAACTTCTAAACCTTTAATTTTCTTGGTTTCTTGTTCTGTCTGTTTTCGAAATTTCAAATCAGAAAATAGATACAGACAACATTGTAAAGCTATTAAAAAGTATAACGTATTACATAATGATCTCGATAAAATTCTAGCTAGAACATTGCATGAATTTAAGAATATTTTAATCCAACAAATACATCACCAATTGTCATTAAGTTTTGCCAAGATTAGAAGAAAGATGTTATCAGTTCCGTGTACTGAAAGCTTATTTTTTACTGTTTTTAAAGGTTATATTCATCAATTTTCAAATAATCCATGAGTGTATAAATGCAGGTTTCATGGAGAGTCTGCATATTCAACTTTAGTACAAATTTTGGAAGATCCTAGATGGGGTCAAAAAAATTATGATCAAAATCAACAAACGCATATCATTTTGGAACGACCTAATATTAACAATGATCAAAATAATGATATTGATCCTCTTGAGCAATTAAATAATCAAAAAAAAAAAAAAAACCTAAATTTTTTCATAGTGAGCTTCTGGTAGAATGGAAAAAAAAAATTATTAAAGAAATAGATGGACATACTTGTGCAGCAGGATTTGTATACTTATCTTTTTATATTTCACAAAGATATATACTTTAATGTTAATATTATCTGATTATAAATTAATAAAGCTATTACCTGATTAGGGCTAATAACATTGATACGTATATATGAAGTCATAGGCTCAACAGGAAGAACTGTTGATGTTATATGGCTAATTCTTCACACAGTATGAAATATATAAAAAATCATTTTACAATACCAGATCATTCTGCTAGTACATGTGTTATGATTATAATCCCACACCGTTTTTATTATAATCATAATATGTACTAGCAGAATGATCTGGTATTGTAAAATGATTTTTTATATATTTCACACCGGATGAAGAATCAGCTGTGTAATATCAACAGTTCCTCCTGTTCATAGGTTATGATCTTGATAAGCAAGCCACAAAATCCATAAAAAGTGATTTTAGTAGTTATCCAAAAAGGTTTTTTTCTTTGAAAACCAATTGATTAAATGAAATTTTGTATTTACAACACACTAAAATAGCTATATATCTCTTACATCATTCTTAAGTTAGTAGCTGTGTATGCTCTACACTATACTGTGAAGAAAAATGAAACAGTTGTGAACATTGAGCAAACAGACGCAGCAATTGAATTAATTTAAATTAAGGTCGCAGTATAAATCAGATCTGCTTTCTTATGTATTTTTATTAATTCCGTAATAGACACTTATGACTACCAATATATTAATAAACCTAACTTGGAAAATTTTGAATTTTTATAAATTATAAGGAAGAGTTGGGTATTCTGGCATGGGAGGTAATGTGGCGCACTGAAGTTTTTTTAAAGTATCTCATAATACAATAATTAGAAATGAACGATTTTAGCATCATTCAATTTGCCTTATCAAGACGAATTAAATAGTGTCAAAATCACTTTAATTGGAATTATTGGCTGCTAGATATAAGCAACATTAATAAAAAAAATTAAAAAACACCAAAAATTAACAAATTTGTACGTATTCGGCATGCCTTGGCCTAATTAAGTAACATTAATTAAAATACATAATTTAATTTCTTGATGATATATTTACATCAAGTAAGCGAAAATTTTTACGATATAAACTTAATTTCTCTTTATTATGTGAAGAGTGACAATTACGATAGAATTTTTGGAAACTAGAATTATATTCTTCTTTATCACAAAATAGATCAGCAAATTTACACATCTCCAACCTTTTGAGAGTGTATCTATACCTATATTCTCTATCAAAAATGCCATCATCACTTACTGCTTTTTCAAATTTTTTGTATTTTTTGAGAATATATTCCATCTTAGTGAGAAGTTCATAATTATATATAAGATTGTCAAAAAAAATGACAACCAATTTAATTTGATCGAATTCATGACTACACGAGTGATAATTGTCAGTCAGCTTAATTTTTTCATTTGTAATTATTAATTTCAAGAAGTATTTTATGATATTAATTAACCGCTTGTAAAGAGACAGAAGTACAAATTTCATTTAATCTTTAAATTCACTAGGGTCGTAGGTACTGTTGATTAAATTATTACAAAGGATTGAGACTGTGTTGTTAATTTCTTCATAATGTGGATCAAGAGGGTATTCCATTTTTAATGTATACCAAGTTTTTTTTGAATTTTCTTCGAGATAAATATTTTTACCTGTCATTTAATATAGATTTAGTTTGATTTAGCTTTAATTGAGGATTTGGTCTGTTAAATAACTAATTGTCTAAAGAAACCAATATGATTGTTGTTGTATATGATCTCAAAAAAACTATTGTGGTCGTGATTTTATATATCATGTACTCAAAATTTCTTTATTGATGATTGCTAAGAACATGCAATCTTAATAATGATGCATGCTAGATCATCGAATTTGACACTTTATTACCTGAATCCTTATATAATCTAATACTAATTTAGAACAGTTAGTAACTTAAAAATTTTATATATATTGCACAAACACTATAACGCATATACCGCTATTGTCATAAACTTGATATATGGTATAATCTTTTTTCACATGTTCAAATTTTTTATATTCAAATTTATGAATCCTATCACTATTGATTGCTTGAGCACAATCGATTTTGAAGTGATCATCACTATTATTTCAAATGTCTATGATTAGTGATGGGACTAAGGGTGCTAAAAATTAAAATATCATACACTGTAATCTATCAAAAATATTAGATCCTTAATAAATTATTAAATATGTTAATTAAGTATCACTATTTTTTAACCTCTGTAGTCCCATCACTGTCTATGATTTTGCAAATCACGATAATATATTACTTTTGTCTTTCAGTTGTACTAATAATCTATAGCACTGATTTTTTGCAAAGTTAATGATTTATTGTTCTTTAATCATGCCAATAATTTATCATGCTGAAATTATTTAACAAATACAATTACAATATAAATTGTACAATTCATGCAAAATAAATATAAATGTTAGAAAGTGACTGTTCAATTCAATCGATAAATGATATCTAATATTTATACCTACTGTTTAATTACTATAATCATGTCGACCCAATTAAATAATCTAAATCGCAATATTGATATTGAAACTTCTGAATTGGGGAATTATTCTAAGAATCATGTAATCACATATAAAGAAAAAAAATATAATATTACACAGTGGTCTTTTAGTTATTTCATAGTGGCTGAAGGGTCTTATCCACATTATTCTATACTTTGTTATATATTACCTCCTAAAGAATATCCAATTCCTGATAACTATTCTATAAAAACCACATAGGGACGCAGAAAAAAACAACAAACAATCTAATATGAAATTGAATATAAGAGTGGATGTCCAGAATTTCGAATTTTATTTGGCCCATCTTTTGAACATGTACTTAAATCAAATGAGTTAACTAGTAAAGTTGCAACAGAGTATAATAAGGTACAGTATTAATATATATTTAAAAAATATCATGTGATCATAATGCATTAAGTTTGTATATAGCCACCTTTAATTGGTCAATTGCTTTTTTTAAATTGCTTATAAAACTGATCAAGACACTGCATAATATTTATAAGTTAAAATTCTATTTGTAGGTTGTAAATTCAAACAAAAATAGTTTTTTATCTGGGCTACTACTCTTTGGATTACAGCTTCAAACACTTAATAAACTTAGAAAATCTTGTAATAAATGTATGATTAAACCTGCTGAACAATCTTCACCAAAAACACTTAAAAGACATGCAACAGAACTTGGAATTATGATCAAAGAAAATTTTATTCAAAGCACAAAATCCAAGTATCATGATCAAGATTTCGTTGAATTAAAGTCATTTGAGTATGCTATCAATAATCAAAATTATCTTATTAATTTTGAAAAGGATGATCATGTACAAAAAAATGCTGAAATTTTAAATATAGTTAGGATAATGGATACATATTATATTTTACAAGATGCTTATCGAAATTTGGTGGCAACAAATTACCACCTACCACGTGAATATATTATTGTAAATGAATGAAATAACCTAACTCAAAAAATGGCTAAAGACATTCCAATTAAACTTATTAATATAAATACAATAATAACAGATAAAGGTTCTGATAATATAGATGAAGAATTTAATAATATAGATAATGAATCTAATAATTTAGATTTGGACATAATTAATAACATTATGAATTCTATAAATATAAGTGGGCAGCGTAATTGTAAAGGAATACTTCGATATTTAATTCCTTATTTGTTGCAAAAAAATATATTATCAGTTGATGATCCAATAATTTATTTGCAGATTTCTGGAGATGGTCGAAATGTTGGCTGAAAAGTTAAGCATATTATTATTACATTTACAGTTCTTAATGATCAAAAACATTGCCACATATCTAACTATCATTATACGGTTGCCATATATCCAGGAATCGAAAAATATGAATCTCTTAAATTCATATTAAGCCCATTTCTTAATGATCTTAGAGATCTTAAATCTAACAGATTAGAGGTCACAAATATATTATGATGGTTTAAGTTATACTTTAGTAGTGATTGGAAGTTCCTTGCGATCTGTTTTGAATTAAACACCACAAATTCTAATTATTTTTGTGCTTGGTGTCTCTGTTCTAAACATGACATTGGTAATGTAATACAAGATTGGCAAATCACAAAATCAATGAATGATTTAAAAAATAATTACCTTAATATTCCTGGTTATATTAAGCCACTATTATTCGATATGATTCCTTTGTGCAACTACATATTTGATGAGTTGCATTTATTATTACGAGTTGAAGATTAGCTTTGGACATTAATGTTATCAGAAATCAAAGAGAGAAATCTATTCAATGATATTAGTCATCAAATCATTGTAACCGAAATGAATCGGCTCAATATCAAATTTCAATTTTGGAAAGAATCTAATATATGGAAAAATACATTATTAACCAGTGATGACAAAGTTAAAGTGTTACAACATTTTAATTTAAACACCCTTTTTCGTCCAAGTAGAGCCAAGTTAATTCGATCTTTATGGGACAAATTTATTGATCTGTATAAGGCAATATGTGACCAAAATAGTGATCCTTTATATTTAAAAAATTTAGCACTTGAATGGTTAAAACTTTTTTTAAAACCTGACAAAAAGGATCCAAAAAATCCAAGTAATATCATAAAAGGTCTTTATTTGCCAACTCATATAACTCTCTATATCCATTTTTTGGTATTTCATGGGTGAGAGTTACATCAAAGACATTGCCAATAGGGATTAAAAGCATTTTCTTGTAGTGTGGTAGAAAAAAAAAATCATATGCATATTTCATACTTTTTTCGAAAAACTACCCTGAATAGTGGAAATCCTCTTAAAACAAAACTGGCCACAATAGAAATTTTAGAATATGAGTTATAAACTCTTTTTTATACATATAACAATCTGTTAATGCAGCAGAAAACCAAAAAACTTCGTATTAAATAAAATTATGTAATATAATTAATATATATGTGCGAAATTTTTTAATTAAAATTAAGTGATAGCAATAAATTTAATGATTTAGAAATGATTTATGAAAAGCAATTGACTTATTAAATGAATTATAATTTATAATTATTGTGCAGTTTTATAAGTGATTCATATGGTTTTATATAATCATGAATTATAGCTAACGCAATTTTACTAGAGATCATCGATATCACATAACTTAAATGTTTGGGTGAAATATTATTCTTGATTTTCAATCAAAAAATCTGACCACAAGTTTATGATATAACAATTACTTATAATTTGATATCATTATTATGTTATTTCTCTAGAAACAAAAGAAATCGCATAATAAGGCCATTCAAAGAGTTGGTTAACATCAATATTTTGTGTTCAGGTATAAGGAGGAAGTTTGTGCAGTGCTTTTAATTTTCGGAAGACAGTTATCCAAGAGGGAAGATGACATTAACCAACTAATCAACTTTGAACGAAACCAAATAATCAGCACACATAATCACTTTTAAGAGAAAGAAATAGCAGCGATAACTGATAATGTTAGTGAATCAATCGTGTTTATTATAATGAATATTTACAATTTAATAAAGTTGCTTACCATTTCAATTTACAATCATTTTACAACAGCCATATCTCTGGCTTGGCAAAATTTGCAATTAAACAAGGATTCAAAGAGATTGTTCAAGTAACTTTGTTATGAAACCTTATTTTTAATATCAATAAATGAGCATCGTTAATCATATCGAAAATAGTATTTGAGAACCTTTAATATATCATCATTTGCGTATTCACGTTAACAAAAATTTGTATAAATACAATTATAGCTGAGTACTATCTTGATCACTTCCTAAATTTGTACCTTTTGCCTTTATTGAATCTAATACGGTAATACATAAAATTCAGAGATGGCAATACTTATATGTCCAATTGTTTTGGTCTGAATTAGGCATGTAAAGTTTATATATTCAAGTGTCTAATTTTATATGACCAATTTGTCTAAATGCAAACTTTGCAGTAAAATCAAGTCACTAACTAATTTTGATACTTCAATAATTTAATTTGCATTATTCATTAAGAGAAGGAACCAAACTTCTAAATATGATTGAAATATCTACAGAGAAAGGTGGTGTTCAAGATATGTGTTACTAGTGGTTACTCGAAAAAAGAACATTTGGTGAGAAAATTGATGTGTTACAAGTGCATACTCCAAAAAAAAAAAAGATGAGAGTCAAGGTGCATCCCAAAAAATAGAAATTGTAATAATACCCAATGGTTTCAAATAAATAAGCATTTTTTATTAATGATTTCAAATGCCTTTAAGGCATTAGAGATCTTGATGATTGAACTGCCTGAGAAAATAATCTGAGTGGGCAATTTGCATTGCTTATCATTTCAATATAATAGCGCTTTATATTTGTCCTTTTTAACCTAATTTTGTGAACTTACGATAGCAAAAAAAAAATAAAATAAAATAAATAAATATGTTATGTTCATTCTTTTGACCTCAATTCCACTTTAATAGCAATAACCAAAAGTTTCTAACCTTCGCTGATTTTTGTAATACATATAATATAAATCCAGCATTTTTACTTCAGTTTTATTCTGCAACTATAAGTTATATCTTCTACTAGCATTTTCCAACTCTGACAGATCTTTGATAATAAATTATTATGATCATTCTTTTCAACATTATGTTCTTTTTTGTCTTGTAATATCTAATATATATATATATATATATATATATAATAAATATAAACCGAAAATTAAAATACAATATATATACAAAACTGAAAGATTATAGTATATAGCGAGTTTTACACTTTTTCTCGCAACGAACAAACAAAAAGTAGTATATAATTTTTGTGTAATGTTACTAAATCAGTACCAAGCATAATGTCAAATAACCTAACACACTACAAAAAATTTTAGGGTACAGGGTTCTCTCTTCTGCATAGTGTCCAAAATTAGCCCATATGTTGTTCTTCCGAACAACTTTATTTAAGACATAAATATTAATTAACTTAGTAGAATTTGGACTTTTATATATAACTATGATTGTTAATTATATTTTATAAAAATTACTTTTTATATAATAATTAAGTTTGATTGGCTAAAAAGTGTTAGATTATCAATTAACAAATATTAAATAACTTTTTAAAGTCATTTGACTTTTGAAATGACTCATGACCAGTCATTGGTCATTTGGGTCATTTGGGTTATTTCAGGTCATTTACCATTCCTGCTATGCTAACAGAACAAAACTTAGTAGAAGTTGTATTGCTACATATAATCAGAAAAATAATTAAAAAAGCAAAAGAAGAACAGCCAGAAAAGAAGATTAATATCATCAAACAAAACAAGAATATCACAATGAAGAACCTATAATGAGACAAATACAAGCCAAAGAAAAAGAGGTACAATAACAGTTATCTGAAGTACATAACAGTCAAAAAAAATCATATAAAGTAAGACAAAAGAAAGAGATAAGAATTAAAAAGACTGTTGAAAGGAAAGTAAAAAACAGTGCCAAAAGCTTACAAAAAAAAGTAAGTATAAAGATAAGTCAAATAAATATTAATCAAAAAAGTAGAAATCTGCTTACACAAAAAGGAAATAAAGAAGAACAAAGAAAAAAGCAAAATCAAGAAGATACAGAAATGCAAATAGAAAGAAAAATTAACATATTTAGAAAACCTTTAGAAGAAAGCATATAGGCTTCAAAAAAGAGAAACTATAACCAAAATAACAGTTTACTTGTTAACATACCTGCACAAAATGTGCCTAGAAAGACAAAAGAAGAATATATAA